GTTGGAAAGGACCAGACCTACAGCCTTCATACGTATCTGTTAAGCAAAAGATAGGGAGAAGAATATTTAAAGAAAGATGACATGCCTTGGACAGGCAGTGCCTCCCCAGCTTGTATTTAATCTGAAGTTAGTTAAGTTGAATGCAACTCAGAAAAGAAAACTTGACCTTCTTGGCAGAGTAGCATAGACCTGGATGTAGTGGGTGTTTTTTGTGTAGAATTATTTGTGTGTGTGTATAACATACAGCGAACACAGGAATACATGGCGAGTGCTTCTTTGTAGAGAGCTAAACAGTAGAGGTGAAGACAGAATAGTTTTGCCAAAATAGTGTGTGTGTGGTTCTGTCAAATCTTCTAAAAACATTGAATATTGTCCTGGTTAAATTAACGAGCAGTGATGGTAGAAACGCGGTTACTAGGAGTGCCTAATCATGCTTAATTAAACATTGACCCAAATCATTTCCGTTGTTAGGTGTCTTTTCAGATCGAGATGGGGATTGTGAGAGCCAGTATCTGTTCATATTGATAATATTGAAACTAAAACCAGTGTGGGCTGTTGAAAGTTCCTATGAAGCTCCTGTAACAGACCCTAACTGGCAATTTGTAGTGGTGGTGCTCAGTAGAATATGATTATGTATTTACAGTGTTTTGGTCTCTGATCCTGTTTACGCCTGAATAGCTACATGGTATTGCAAGACAAGGAGAAGTCCCTGTAGGATCCTCCCAGGTTCTGCCTTTGAATAGTCTTTTGTCTGGCACTACTTCAAGGTTACCATAATGGATATAGGCTGGAGTATTTTCAGCTTTATCTTTCTCTTCCCTTTCAGCACCTTTCCAGTTTTAGGAAATGACCGTTTAGCTCATGGGTGTGACTTTGTTGATTGTCTTTGAAGAATTTAAAGTTACACCTTTGGGTTGCCACTGTAAATGACCTAGTTTTTTCCACTTGATAGATTAAGGGAAGAAGAACAGTTCAGGTCCGCCCTCAGAACTTGGCATTCTGAGAATGCAACTGCACTGGCTAAGAATGGCTTTTTTTTCCCAAAGATTGATTTATTTTTGTTGGAAAGGCGGATATACAGAGGAGGAGAGACAAGAGAGGAGTATCTTCCCTCCAAAGGTTCACTCCCCATGTAAGCGCAACACCTGGAGCTGAGCCAGTTCGAAGCCAGGAGCTCTTCCGGGTCTCCCACGCGGGTACAGGGTTCCAAGGCTGTGGGCCGTCCTCAACTACTGTCCCAGGCCACAAGCAGGGAGCTGGATGGGAAGCGGGGCTGCTGGGATTAGAACCAGCGACCATGTAGGATCCTGGCACATGCAAAGTGAGGACTTTAACCTCTACGCTATCATGCTGGGCCCTAGAATGGCATTTTGAAGTTGAAAGTTTTACTGTTTCTTTGGGCATTTGAATAGCTTTTGGGGAAAGCAGATTTGTAGGAACACTGCATGTTGACTTGGCTGCTGGCAGCCTTTGGTTGTATGCTACACTATGAATACTCCATCTTAAGGCTAAGATGAGAGGCCAGCACAGTGTGTGGGTGCTCTGCTTGAGGTCCTGACAGTCCATATCACAGTGCAGCTGTGAGTCCTGGACCTGAGGCTCCCATCCAGCTTCCTGCTAACTGGCCTGGGAAGGTAGCTGGGTAGGGTAGCCGAGAATGGCTGAAGTGCTTGGTCCGCTGCTCACTCCTGTGGTAGATTGGGATGGAGTTTCTGGCTGCTGGCTTCCTCCTGGAACTACCTTGGCTATTGGGGTCATTTGGTGAAGGAGCCAGTGGGTAGAAGGTCAGTGTCTTTGTGCCTCCTCTGGCTCTGCCTTACAAATAAATAAGAAGGGCCCGGCGCGATAATGTAGAGGGTTAAAGTCCTCACCTTGAACGCCCCGGGATCCCATATGGGCGCTGGTCCGAATCCCGGCAGCCCCGCTTCCCTTCCAGCTCCCTGCTTGTGGCCTGGGAAAGCAGTCGAGGACAGCCCAATGCCTTGGGACCCTGCACCCGCGTGGGAGACCCTGAGGAAGTTCCTGGCTCCTGGTTTAGGATAGGCTCAGGTGAGGCCGTTGCACTCAGTTGGGGAGTGAATCATCGGATGGAAAATCTGTCTGTCTGTCTGTCCTCCTGTTTGTATATCTGACTTTGCAATAAAAATACATCTTAAAAAAAAGAACATAAGGGTCTGGTGCAGTAGCGTAGTGCTTAAGGTCCTCTCCTTGAACGCGCCAGGATCCGCATGCGTGCCGGTTTTAATCCCGGCTGCTCCACTTCCCATCCAGCTCCCTGCTTGTGGCCTGGGAAAGCAGTCGAGGACAGCCCAGAGCATTGGGACCCTGCACCTGCGCTGGCTCCTGGTTTCAGATCGGCACAGCACCGACCGGAAGATCTTCCTCTCTGTCTCTCCTCTCTGTATATCTGCCTTTCCAGTAAAAATAAATAAATCTTTTTAAAAAAAATAACAAGAAATCTGAAGGAAACAAGGCAGCCCCACACGTAAGGCTGTAAGGTAACCTGTTGTTGAGCTGAAACGGACCTGGGCTGTCGGGCAGCAACGTGAGTCCCTCGGAAGAACAGGGCTGCCAGGCGACCGCCTTGGACAGCAAACGGCCCGTGCTGCCAGCCTGTCCCTAAGCACGCTGCTGTTGATGGAGCCTTGCGCAGTGAGGAGGCACAAGTGGTGTGGGTTCCCTGTATCCTCTGCAGGAACGGGGACTGAGGAGGGACCCCAAAGAGCGGCAGCCAGGATGTGACAGGCAGTGCTAGCAGTGCGGTTCTTACTGGATTTCAGAGGTAGGCTGTGATAAATTATTAAAAGACACATGTCAGGAGTCCGTGCAAATTAAACTCTAGTGTTCTGAGAATACAGGCTTGTGAATAACCTTGTCCGCTGCGGTGCCTGGGCACCATGGCCGGAGGTTAAGTGCTGTTGTCCATCTGAGTCAAGGTTGACATGAACTGTCACCTGCGGAGCCTCTGGCCAGCGCGGTGTGTTCAGACCGCCCGCTGTGCTGTGCTGGGAGTGCCTTTAGGCTGCTGGCTCGTGTGCTGGCCAGCGACCTGGGGCAGCATGCTCATGCACTCTTCTTTCCATTTGAGTGGCGACTTTTTTTTTGTTGTTGGAAAGTCAAACATACAGAGAGGAGGAAAGACAGAGAAGATCTTCTGTCTGTTGATTCACTCCCCAAGCTGCCGCAAGGGCTGCAGCTGCGCCAGTCCGAAGCCAGGAGCCCAGAGCCTCCTCTGTCTCCCATGCCGTTGCAGGGTCCCAAGACTTTGGGCCTTCCTGCTTTCCCAAGGCTGCTATCAGGGAGCTAGATGGGAAGTGGAGCAGCCAGGACATGAACCGGCACCCACATGGGACCACAGAGCTTGGAGGGGGAGGACTAGTTAGATGAACCATTGTTGCTGTGTTGGGTGGTGACTTGTCTAACTATTGAGGTTTACTCTTGACAAGCTCGAAGGTTATTAAAGTCTTTATTATTACTGCCATGGCAAGTTTTCTCCTCTGCAAATTGGTTAGAAGTGATGCAGAGATCATTTCAAGTGGTCATTCCTGCTTTAGAACTCGGAAAGTGTTTACCTGTGTTGTTAAGTCAGTGTGGGGGTGGCTGCTGTGCTCACATTACCCCGGCATGCTCAGGATACTTGGCTTTGGTGAGCATAGGAGACAAGGTATACATTTTTTTAATAAAGATTTATTTTTATTGGAAAGTCAGATATACAAAGAGAAGGAGAGATTTTCTAAATCATCCCCCAAATGGCCTCAATGGCCAGAGCGGAGCTGATCTGAAGCCAGGAACCAGCAGCCTCTTGCGGGTCTCTCATGTGGGCGCAGGGTGCCTAGGCTGGGTTATCCTTAACTGCCTTCCCAGGCCCCAAGCAAGGAGTTGGATGGGAAGTGGGGCTGCCAGGACACAAACTGACACCCATGTGGGATCCCAATGCGTGCAAGGTGAGAACTTTAGCCACTAGGCTACCATGCTGGGCCCCAGGGTGTAAGGAGGAGGGATGCAGCTTTTGTTTGGACTGGTCAGCTGGACCGCATGGTTAACATGATTTTCTCCATTGGAAGCTTCAAGTCAGAAAGTTGGTTAGGCAGCAGTCACTCCAGCCATGTGTTGTAAAGGCAGAGAGGAGACAGGTGTTCCATCTGCTCTGTCAGCCCTCAGAACCTTACAGCAAAAGGGGCTGGAACTGAAGACGGGAGCCAGCAGCTGCAGCTGGGCGTCACACAGGAGTGGGAACCCAGGTCTTTGGCCCTCCTTGGCTGCTTCCCTGATTCACCCGCAGGAAACTGTCAGAAGCGTGTGGTTGGCAGGACTTGAACCGGTCGCTGCGTGGGCTGTGTAACGCACGGTGCCATCCCGTGTGGTAGTTTTGATGACCCTTCAGGTTTACTTCAACATCGGATCAGTTAAGACTGGCGCCCGAGGCCGAGGGTGTGCAGACTGATTCTGTGCCTTGTCTCAGTTTTGTCATGTTTGTTACCAGGTGTTCCTGAAGGGCTGGGCCCTTTCTAGGTGCTGCACAGCTGTGCATGCACTGCATCCCGTAGGTGCGAGTTCCCTTAGAAAGGGAGTGGGGCCACTGCTGGTGGGCAGGGCAGGGCATTGAGGTGTGCCCGTGACTCGGGACATGGCCGGATGCAGCCGTGACTGTAGACATGTGTCCGTGAAGCTGTCATGGAGAACAGTGTTCAGTTTTATTGGGAAGGTGGCCTTACCTGGACACGTGGAGACCCACTGGCCTCTGATACCTTGGCCCAGTCAGCAGGTCAACCACCTGCTCCTCCCTGGCCAGCTCTGGTTCTGCCCAACCAACCAGCCTCCTTCCCTCTCTCCTTCCCTCCCTCACCTCTCTTCCTCACTCTCCTGCCCTCCTCTCTCAATCTTCCTCTTTTCCTCCCTTCCTCAGATTTATTTATATTTATTTGAAAGGCAGAGTTAGATAAGGGCAGAAAAATCTTCCATCCATTGGTTTACTTCCTGAATGGCTGCAGTAGCCAGACCTGGGCCAGCCCAGGAGCTTCTTCCAGGTCAACCACAGGGGACACGGGCCTTTATGCTGCTTTCTCAGGCACATTATTAGCAGGGAGCTGGACTGGAAGTGGAACAGCTGGGATACAAAATGGAGCCAGTATTGAGAAGGTGGTGCCACAGGTGAGGCAGTGGGCTGCGCCATGGCACTGCTTCCTTAACTTCCCTCAGCCAGGGAAGTGGAGAAATAGTAGCTGCGCTAGCCTAGGTGTTTGAAAGTTTCACAGCTACAAGTTGGAACGAAACCAGTTTTCTAAGATAGGGACTAAATTATGCTGTTAGCTGGGAGAGGACTAACCATGGTATTGACACAAGTTGTATTTCTAATTCAGAGGGTAGGTGTAGATTCGTGTCATTCTGGAAAGCAAGTCTACAGAAAAATGGGGTTCCTAAAGTTCTGGAGATTGTACAGACAAGCCAGATTTCTGAGAATGGTGCAGAAACCTGACATGGAAACTTTGGCCAAATAAGAACACCATAAAAACCCCTTCTCTGTTTGCAGTTACCACTGTCATTTAAAAAATAGATTTATTTGCTTATTTGAGAGAGTTATAAAGGGAAAGAGAGATCTTCCATCTGCTGGTACACTCCCGAAGTGTATCAGCAATGGTTGGGGCTGGGCCAGGTGGAAGCTCTTCTTTAAGAGTGGCAAGTTGCCAAAGTATTTGGACCAGATTGCGTTGTTTTTCCCAGTTGTGTTAGTAGGGAGCTGGATCGGAAGTGGAGCAGTGGGGATATTGGGACCAAGGTGGTGGGTGGCTTCGTGTGCTTATGCCATGTCACTGGCCCCGTATTTTTTAAAAGGGTATTGTAATACCTTAAAAACAGGGCTTCAGACAGGTGGCAGACCTTATTCATATTGAGATTAATCTATATGATTTTGTGTAAAACTGATTGAATTGTTTCCATTTTTCACTTAGCTGTTGGCCAGTGAAAATGGTGTTGTCAGTTTGAGTGCCTGCTGTTGCTCAGTTTACAATACTGCCTGGGATATTGGCACTTGCAGACACTTCTTGACTGAGTAAATGGTTGTAGGAGCCCGGCCGATAAGTCGGCTATTCAGATACCATTTAGTATGTGGTGAGCAGAGCTGCTTGACGCTGTTCAGAGTGGATGGGTCTGTCCTTAGCACCATAGCGTTGCGAAGCTGGCAGTGGAAGGGCCTGTAGTTAAAGCAACTAGGTAGAGTAGACTCGTGGAATGCAGATGTCTGGAATGTTCTTTCTGTTAGCTCACACAGGTTGGTTACTTGCCTATATGTTTATCTTCCATTGTGATTGCAACAAAGAAAAGACTAAAATGAAGATAAAACACTCCAGCCTTCTTTTCTTTGCCCTAATCTTTGATCTGCAGCCTCGGAACAGCTCACTTAAAGATTATTCAAAATGGAAGATAACACAGGAGTAGCAGTGTTTTGGAACTCTCTAGAAGGGAAGAGTCCGCAGGCCTTGCTCCTGGAGGAAGTGCACACAGGAGCAAGTATGGTTCCTGCATGGGCTGTGGAGGGAGTGCAGTGCAGGCTTAGCTGACTTTAGATTTCAGAGTTGTTGAGATGTTGAAAAGAGCAATTTCCTGCCCGTGCTACGAAGGAGCAGTGTGTTGGTGAAAATTAGCTTCTGACCCTGGGTGTGCAGAGTGGAATCCAGCAGGCCCCACTCTAGCTGGCCCTCGCCCGTGTGAAAGGGGGTGACATTCGCTGATGAGACACTGAGCATGTTGAGGGCTTCTTCAGCGTGCACATTCTCCAGGTTGCTGTGTGTGCATGCGTGTGCTTGCTTCCTTATTCCTTGTTTGGGCTGGAGCTGAGAGGACGGAGATGTGGGGGTTGCGAACCCCAGGATGGTGGGGGTTCTCTGGGACGTCCGAGGAGTCCTGGTTTCCAGAAGGGGCAGTGTTGCTCACCTCTGGGTGTCATTGGGGTGTTGATAAGACAGTTTCAGGCTCTGGCTTCCTGAAGTGGCCTGTCATCTTGTGTGATCCTTTGGGCTGTCTGGCCTTGCGGAGGGTCTGTGTAAGATACGCGTGTGTTTTAGGGGCCGTTTCAGATTTGTTTGGCTGAATCTAATAGTTGTGTCCAAGAATTTCCAGATTGTAGATTTTGGTTTGGTAGCACACCATGTCTTCAAGTTTCTTAACTGGGTGAGAGTGTTGATTTAGTAAGTGTTGCTGACTCAGATGAAATGCTAGTGGTTTAATTAACAAATGTGTGTAACAAGACGCACGGTGTGTTGGAAGGGAAGCAGCTGAGCGGAGGGCCTCTTAACGTGGCAGGGCGGCCCTGCGTCTCCTCCAGCGGCCTTCTGGATGCGGCTGACCACTTCTATTTTCGCCCTAGGTGTTGCAGATCCCATCTCTGCATTGCTGCAATTGACTTGTTACTCAGAGGAGTCACCTGCTCCATGGAGACGACGAGAACTAGTGCTTCGTACTGATTCCTACTTGAACCCAAATCCCGGGAGTGTTCATGCCTTGTCTGCGGAGTCTCCATCGGCGAGCTTCCACAAACTCCCAAAGAGAAGTGCCAGGAGCACACACTTGCTTTTGAGCTTTTGTCCTAATCACTTGCTCCAGTTGTGCAAACCGGGGCTGCTGGAGGTGGGAGCGACAAGTCTTACAAGTGGCCTTATTCCAGTCCCAGAAGTCCCTGAGTAGCAGATTGAGATTCTCTGCACAGTCCCCAGCGCAGCAGGAAACATGCCCACACAGTCACTCCTCGTGTACATGGACGGGCCAGAAGTCATCGGCAGCTCCCTGGGCACCCAGGTGGAGATGGATGATGCCATGCTGATACGAGGGGCGGCCGCCGTTCCCTTCCGAGCCACGCAGGAGCGCAGCATCATCCAGGTGGAGGGCTGCGTGCCGCTGGACTGCATGTTCTGCAGTCAGTCCTTCAGCCACTCCGAGGACCTCAGTAAGCACGTGCTGCTGCAGCATCGGCCCACCCTCTGCGAGCCGGCTGTCCTGCGGGTGGAAGCCGAGTATCTCAGCCCTCTGGACAAGAGCCAGTTATGTGCCGAGCCCCCAAAGGACAAGAATTGCAAGGAAAACGAGGACTTGAGCTGTGAAGTGTGCGGGCAGACGTTCCGAGTGGCATTTGACGTCGAGATGCACATGAAGAAACACAAGGACTCGTTCACTTACGGGTGCAGCATGTGCGGCCGGAGGTTCAAGGAGCCATGGTTCCTCAAGAATCACATGCGGACTCACAACGGCAAGTCGGGGGGCAGGAACAAGGCGCAGCCAGGCCTGGAGAGCCCGGTGACCATCAACGAGGTGGTCCAGGCACACGTGGCTGGGACCATCTCGTCTCCTTACAAAATATGCATGGTTTGTGGCTTTGTATTTCCCAATAAAGAGAGCCTGATGGAGCACAGCAAAATGCACACCAAAGAAGCTGCTCCCAGTACCAGCAGCGCACAGAGCGCCGCCCAGCCGGAGGGCACACCAGCTCCGCGGGAGGAAGAGTTCCTGCAGCTTTTAAACTTGAGACCAAAATCGTATGCTGAGTGCGCCAAGAAGCCGGTGAAGTGCATACCTCAGCTCGACCCGTTCACCACCTACCAGGCTTGGCAGCTGGCTACCAAAGGCAAAGTCGCCGTTGCCCAAGAGGAAGTGAAGGAATCTGGCCAAGAAGGAAGTACTGACAATGATGATTCTTGCTCGGAGAAAGAAGAACTGGGAGAAATTTGGAGTGGCAGCAAGTCCGAAGGCCCTGGGAAGTCCAGAGCGAAAGCCGCCTGTGCGGGGCTCTCGCAGGAGAAGGAGAAGCCGAGGCACTCGAGTGGCGACGCGCCTCTGGGGGACGCAGACCCCAAACTGTCCGCCAACAAGGAGAAGCCCACGCACTGCGCCGAGTGCGGCAAGGCCTTCCGCACCTACCACCAGCTAGTCTTGCACTCTCGCGTGCACAAGAAGGACAGGAGAGCGGAGGCCGCGTCGCCAACCACGTCCCTGGACGGAAGGCAGCCCGGCACCTGCTCGCCAGAGCTCGCCGCCAACCTGGACGAAGGCGGAGCTGCGGACCGGGGTGAAGGCGCCTCCGAGGATGGCTCAGAGGACGGGCTTGCCGACGGGCTGCACCTGGGTGAGCTGCTCCCTGGGGCCCTGGTGGGGAGGGGCTGCAGAGCACCTGTGTGGCCTCACTGGTCTTCTAAGAATGGCTCGTGACCCGAGGCTGACGGGGGTTTGTCCCTGTCGCGAGAAGTTTGATTTTTACATTTTGCTCACAAGGGACCCAGGTGACTGTAATTTGCACAGGAGCCTATAGCATTTTCACAGCTGGGTGATTGTGCCCTCTCTTTAACAGTTTTGGTTGTCATGACTCTGGTGTTTTTGCGCGTGCCCGTGCATGCCGGCCTTCCGAGGGCGAAGCTGGGGCAGGGCACAGCACTTCCTCTGGGCGTCCAGGGCAGAGCCACGGCAGGGAGCACGGTGTGCCCGGAGTCACCTGGCACCAGGTGACCCAGACACAGCCTTGAGCTCTCGGGGCTCCCTCTGTTTCTGTTGGGGTCACTTCCCGTGCGTTCATTTCAGGTGGGTTTGGGAGGCCACTGGAGATGCTGGGAATGAGTGGGCGAGCTACTGTTAGGGGACCCATGAGGGGCAGGCCGGTGGCGGTCCTTTCCTGTCTGACAGGAACACAGGTGATGTGTCTGCAAACCCAGGAAGGTGTGGTTGACACATGGCATCGCTGACCAGGCTGTCCGCTCTGGCACGGCCTGAGCCTCGCTGAGCAGCTGCTGGGGCTGAGAGCGGAGCTGCTCCGAACCACATATTCTGTATGAGAAAAGGAGCCTGCTGCTGAACCTTAAACTCCTGAGTGTAGGGCCCAGTCAGCAGGCGCCTGAGAGCCTGGGAGAAATGCTGTCACTCAGAGAAGTGGCCCTGACCAGGTGAGGTCTCCTGGGGACTCCGTTGACTCTGACTGTGGCACTGCGAGTGCTGCACCTGTGTTTAGCCAATGCCTACATGTGCTGACGGGAAGGCAGTTGTTTTTCTTGCAGATATTCAGTGTTTTGTTTCCTGGGATACAGGAAACCTAGCTCATAGCATACGACAAACCTTCAGTTTTCAGGAGTTTAGAAAACTTAGTGACATCATGTAGTAGGCTTTAAGCACTGAGCCGAGGCAGATGATGCCATCTGCTCAGGGGCCTGGGGCATGCAGTGGCCAGTCTGTAGGTGTGGCAGGAAGTCTGGGTGTGGCTTGCAGGTCTCAAGCTGCTGCCCAGTCTGTGACCAAGTCAAGTCCATCTTCAACCCGTCTTTGACCCGATTTCCTTGTTTGTAAAATGGGTTCTTTGACTGGTCTTTAACTTGCCAGGGATCATTCCAGCAGGCCGTGGGCGAAAACCTTCTTGTTGCTTGTCAGAGTGGCAGGAGGCGGGCTGGCACACAGCTCCCTGGTCTTGTTGTAATGTGAAAGCATCTCATCACTTTAGGAGTGATGCGGCATCGTGGGGCTAGACATGTAGTTGAAAGTCAAAAGTTGCAGCAAGGTGCAAACCCAAAGCATGCTGGTCAGGGGTTGTCTCCTCTTGGGATTGGTTTCCAGAGCTTGTCACAGGGTGTCCTAGTCTGGGTTTATTTTACAGGACAACTGTCCTGGCTTTCTTTGGATTTTAAGGAAGATGGAAAAAAAAAAATGAACTTCCAAGATTCAGTGGTGCATCTTAGTAAAGGCTTTTTCCTGAAGGGGCATTTGTGTATAAGAGAACAACATTTGCGTTCTGCCCTCACTTTGTCTGAAGTCTCACTGAGGTCTGCCAGTTATAGGCTGCTTTCATACATGTATATGTGTGTGTGTGTGTGTATATATATATATATATAATTTGAAAGGCAGATTCATAGAGGGGGAGAGACAGAAAAACCTTCCATCCACAGCTGACTCCCTTAATGGCCACAATGGCTGGGACTGAGCTGCTCTGAAGGCAGGAGCCAGGAGCTTATTCTGGATCTCCTATGTGGGTATAGCGTCCCAAGGACTTGGGACTTCTGCTTTTCCAGGCCATAAGCTGAAAGCTGAGTGGGAGATGGAGCAGCTGGGACATAAACTGGCACCCATGTGGGATCCTGGCACTCTTGGTAGAGGATTAGCTTGTAGAGCCACCATGCTGGCCTTTTAAAAATGGATGAGCTGGGCCCGGCGGCGTGGCCTAGGGGCTAAAGTCCTCGCCTTGAATGTACCGGTGATCCCATATGGGAGACCGGTTCTAATCCCGGCAGCTCCACTTCCCATCCCGTCCCCCGCTTGTGGCCTGGGAAAGCAATTGAAGATGGCCCAAAGCCTTGGGACACTGCACCCGTGTGGGAGACCCGGAAGAAGTTCCTGGATCCTGGCTTCGAATCAGCATAGTATCGGCCATTGTGCTCACTTGGGGAGTGAATCATCGGACAGAAGATCTTCCTGTCTGTCTCTCCTCCTCTCTGTATATCTGACTTTCCAATAGATAAATAAATCTTTAAAAAAAAATAAAATGGATGAGCTGTGAGCTGTGTGGCGTGTGAGATGTGGAAGGATCAAGGAAGAAATCAATGAATTGGAAATAAGTTTTTCAAGACAAAATAACCTGTTTCATGATGCTGGATTTTAAAAAAATTAATTTATTTGAAGGTTAGTCTTTCATCTGCTGACTCATTGCCCAGATGGCCATAATGGCCCGTGTTGAGTCAGGTCGAAGCCAGGGTCCAGGAGTATCATGTGGTTCTCCTGGGGTGGCAGGGACCTAGGTGCTGTGTGCCCAGACATTAGCAGGAGCAGCTGGAATGTGAACAAGTTAGCTCATCTGGGATGCCGGCATTGCTGCTGACGCCAGAACGCTGAATCTGAGGGTGGGTATGTTCCTGTTGTGATGCCGGTTTTAAGACCTGCAGGAAGGACACCTTTATGGGTGGCTGACGTTGGGGGAGCCTTCCAAAGCTTCATGCGAAGTGAGCGTATCTTCTAATCCCATTTCTCTACAAAGTTCTGGCTGTGTCCTCATGTCCTCTGTGTTGTGGCTGCGGTGGACGCGCTCTCGTGGCACGCTGTGGGGTCATCCTGTTTCAGCAACTGATGTCTGGTTACAGATCGTGACTCTGCAGACTTTGTACTTCCCAAAACCTGGCTAAATTTTGACAAACTTTCCTAGGTGCTTGCCCAGTTGGTGTTTCTCTTGACCAACAGGATGTGCTTGCTGCCCTCTTGTGGTGTGTTGTTTAATCTCAGTTAAAAAGTTTCCCGACGCAGAGATTGGGGGGATTGGCAGCTTTTTGGCGTCTGTGGAAGCCGGTTAGTGCCCGTTTTCCATGTGCCCTGCCTGTGGCCGAGGGATGCTGTGAACAGGAAGAGGCCAGGTGCACCTTGCCAGCGACCTTTTCTTGGGACGAAGGTTGACAAAGGGCCTATGACCGTGCACATCCAGCTGTGGCTGGCAGCTACCGGGCTGTGCCTCGAGATGCGGACAGAATGTTCTCCCACTTTCCAGAAAGGTTCCCAGGAGGGAGGTGTAAGTCGGCATGCCTTCGTTCGTGTACTTCGGCTGTCTCCTTACATAAATATTTTTCTTTCTGCTTTAAGATAAAAATGATGACGGAGGAAAAATAAAGCATCTCACGTCCTCGAGAGAGTGTAGTTATTGTGGAAAGTTTTTCCGTTCAAATTATTACCTCAATATTCATCTCAGAACGCATACAGGTAAAGATCTTTTATTTCCCCCTGCATGTATTGGTTAAGAGGATGCTGGTGTCACAGATGTGGTGGAGGAGCTCTGCCGGGCTGGACAGAGGGGCAGCTGCCACCCCCAAGCCTTGTTCAGCTCTCTCCAAGCTGGCAGCTGGCTTGGGTTACCCCGACTCGCCTCCAGTAAACCACTCAGTTTTAGCTTATCATTTCCCGAAGATTTATCTATGTAAGAGAGAGAGACTGCTTCCATTTTCTGGTTCATTTCCCAGATGCCCGCCGTGGCTGGGCTGAGGTTTAGAGCCAGGACCCCAGTGCAGGTCTCCTGTGTGGAGGGGGGCCCAAGAGCTTGAGCCACCACTGGCTGCTTCCCAGGGCCTGCTGGCAGGGAGCCGCATCAGGACCCCATAGGCCAGGCTCGCTGGGATGTGGGCTGGCTAACCAAGTGTCTTCCCGAAGCTGTTGCTACATTTTATGGCCACATGTTTTTAGTGCTTTGATAAGTAAATTCTTAGGTAATTTATGCTTAAAATCTTTTAAAAATATTTACTTATTTTCATTAGAAAGATATACAGAGAGGAGGAGAGACAGAAAAGAAGATTTTCTGTCTGCTGATTCACCCCCCCCAAGTGTCCACAATACCCAGAGCTGAGGCAATCTGAAGCCAGGAACCAGGAGTCTCCTCTGGGACTCCCATGCAGGTGCAGGGTCCCAAGGCTCTAGGCTGTCCTTGACTGCTTTCCCAGCCACAAGCAGGGAGCTGGATGGGAAGCTTGGCTGCCAGGATTAGAACCAGCATCCATATGGGATCTCAGGCGCATGCAGGGCGAGGACTTTAGCTACTAGGCTACCGCGCTGGGCCCTGTGCTTAAATTCTTTAAGTTTAGGAGGATGCAAGGCTTTGAATTCCATCAAATTTCCAGCTGTTCAGTTGTGTTAACTGACCGGTTTATTTGGCCTTTAAATTTTTTATCTTTAATTATTTCACCCGATTTAAAGGCTGGGAGTGAGAGGGAACTTCCCAACACTGGTTCACTTCTCAGATGCCTCAGTAGTCAGGGCTGTACCCTGGCAAACCCAGGAACCAGCACTCGACCCAGGTCTCGCTTGGTGATGACAGGGACCAAAGTGCCTGAACCATTGCCCGCTCACCGTCCACAGGGTTCATTGGTAGAAATCAGGCTGGGGGCACGAGCTGGATGAAATCTGGCACTCTGGAAACTTGGATGTCCCCCTGGGTCGTGTCAGTCACATCATGGTCCATCCCTCGTTAACTTGCCATTAGTTCAGTTTGAGGCAGAGTTAGAGAGGAGCAGACAGACAGATCTTCAGTCTGTTGGTTCACGCACAAAGTGCCCCCAGCAGCTGAGGATGGGCCAGGCTGGAAGCCGAGAATTCTGTCGGGGTCTCCCACGTTTGCTGGGCGTGCAAGCCTGTGGGCTGTTCCTGCCGCCTGCCTTGGCGCGTTCGCAGGTGGAGTGCCAGTGGTCCGCCCACACTTGAGGTGGTCCTCACAGCGGGCGGTGGCTTAACGTGCCTCCTCGCAGTGCTGGCTTGTGGTCTGTTATGGAGATTCAGTAAGTTAAAAGTGTAACTGTTATTTTTTTTTTGTATTAAAGAGACATTCTCGTTCAGACACACAGTACATAGCTCCTTGACCGAGGCGCGGGCAGGAGAACCCCACGGAGCTCAGTGGGCGCAGTGAGGAAAGTGCCGAAGGTCTGTGCTGATGCTTCTCGCGAACTTCTGTAATGTAGCAACATTTCTTGTTTTAGGTGAAAAACCGTACAAATGTGAATTTTGTGACTATGCTGCAGCGCAGAAGACGTCTCTGCGGTACCACTTGGAGAGACACCACAAGGACAGACAGGACGCTGCTGCCGAGGGCAAGGGGGACGGCAAGGGCCACGAGCCCGAGCACGCGCTCGCCACCGCTGACTGTGCGCAGACCAAAAATTTGAAAAGGTTTTTTGATGGTGCCAAAGATGCCAAAGGCAGCCCACCTGCCAAGCAGCCCAAGGAGATGCCTTCTGTGTTCCCAAATGTTCTGGGCAGCTCTGTCCAGTCGCCAGCACACAGGGATACTCAGGACCTCAGTAAGCATGTAGCCGAGGACAGTACCGAGAGCGCGGACAAAGCTGCTACCCCTGCCTACTTGGACTTGCTCAAGAAGAGACCCGCAGGGGAAGTTCAGGCCAGTAGCCCTGCGTGCAAGGTGGGTGCAGGCGTGGCTCCGCCCACAGACGGCAGCGCCACCCGCCGTGCTCACGGCAACTATGGAGACAAGCTGGAGGCTGCAGGAGCTGGCAGGTGCCAGCCTGGCCCGGAGTGGCAGGAGAAGCCTTTGAACTTGTCCCTGGGGCCTCTACACAGTTGCCCTGCAATTTCTTTGAGTAAAAACTTAATCCCAAGTATCACCTGCCCGTTTTGTACCTTCAGGACCTTTTACCCTGAGGTCCTGATGATGCACCAGAGGCTGGAGCACAGATACAACCCCGACTCCCAGAAGACCTGCAGGAGTAAGGCGCTGCTCCGGAGTCGCCGGACCGGCTGCCCGCCGGCACTGCTGGGCAAAGATGTGCCTCCCTTGTCTGGCTTCCATAAACCTAAGCCCAAGCCAGCCTTCCCAGCGCAGCCCAAATCCCTGCCATTGGAGAAAGCCAAGCAGAGCCCCTTGGGGCCGGGCAAAGCCCCTCTGGCCTCAGGGACAGACTCCAGCACTTTAGCCCCGAGTAACCTGAAGTCGCACAGGCCGCTGCAGAGTGCCGGGGGCTCCGGGGCTGCCATCCCCAGGCCGCAGCAGCCCGAGATGTTTGTGAAGACCAGTGCTTGTCCCGCGCCTGAGAAGGCAAGACGAGCCGAGGTGAAACTGAAGCCTGTGGCAGCCGCTGCGCCTCAGCCCGTGCCTGGCAGCAGCGGCCTCAGCGGCTCGGGCGAGTGCGCTGCCAGGAGCGAGAGCCCGTGGGCCCCTCAGGGAAGGGACTGTTTCAGTCACCGGAGTGCAGGTGGCAGCACTGTGGAGTTAACCGAGCCGCTGCCCAAAAGACTGAAATCCAACGTGGTCACGCTTGACATTGACCTGCCTGGGCCCAACTATAAGAGAGGCTACGACGTGCCCAAGTACCACGTCGTCAGGGGCATCACGTCGCTGTTGCCACAGGAGTATGTGTGCTCATCGCCGTTAACCCCCAAACCCAGGTTCCTGGGTGCTGCCGAGCTCGAGTCTTCCAGCGTGCTGACTGTGCAGAAGTCCCATGGCAGCGCGGGTCCCCTGTACCCGTGTGCACCTGTCAGCAGCCCCGGCCCCAGCGCGGCGTTGGAAGGTACTGCATTGGGCGCTGTGTGCTAGTGGCACGTGGCACCCGAGTCCTAAGCCCAGGGGTTGCTTAGGGCACTAGTTTGTGGTCCTCCAGAAGCTAACTGTGCAAGATGCAGTCTGCGGCTCCACGGAGGGTGTGGTCTCTTCTTTCTGTGTGGGATTCATCCTGGAGAAGGTGGCCAAGCCTCTGTTGCGATCTTTTCGTTGTTGGAATTCCAGGGGCCCCACAGCGCTCTTCTCACCTCCGGCGGGCCCGTGGGGTGCTTCCACCCCTACAAGCCCAGGCCATGACGTCTGGGTCACTGTCGCTGCCCCCTCGCAGGGTGGGCAGGGTTTGACGGCTGCTCTGTGGGGGCTGCATTGGGGCCTGCTCTGCTGTGTGGAGTGTGAATGTTGGAACCACTGACTGAAGGTTCTGCCGAATGGTTTGGGGCTCGCACTCGGGCTGTGCTGCGTGTTGGGCGGACTCCATCTGTGGGAGGGTGTGCGTGGGAGCCAATCCTGTGGACTGCCGTGGGGTTCCTGCTGTGTAGGTCTGCCTTGCAGCAATGTGGTGTGGAGCAGTCACTGTACTGGGTATGTTGGGAGGTGCATCCGAGGGTCCCAGGGGACCCTGGTACCTGCCTTCATCCTTCCTCTGTGGTGACCGCTTAGGAGAGCCCCTTGCCCAGTGGTCTGTGAGAAGCTCGTGGAGAAAGCTCAGCTTTCACACACACTCCAGTGGCCCCAGCCCGCATGGCAGAGAACTGGGGGTGCTAGGGTGGAGCTGCCTGTGCTCCGTGAGCACTGGGTCTCCCTGTAACGGTCATTTGTTTGGCTCGCACAGTTTTGGTTTGTGGCACAGGGGTCAGTATGCTGCTTGGGACACCCATATTCATGGCAGAGCACCAGGGTCAGGGCCTGCTCCCAGTCCCGGCTTTCCTGCAAACACCTGTGAAGGTATCGGATGATGGCTCAAGTTGAGTGAGTCCCTGCCACTCACTGTTGGAAGCCTGGTTGGAGCTCCTGGTTCCTGGCTCTGGTCTGGCTCCACCCTGGCAGCAGTGGGCATCTGAACAGTGCACCGACGGATGGGAGCTCTGTCACTGCCTTCCAAATTGGAAAAAAAAAAAAAGTAAAGAAAGCTTAGGCTGCCAGTTTCTTTTAGCTTTTCAAGTCATTTTTGTTGAGACTTGGGAACTTGGGGGACTCAGAATTCTGTCGTAATACATGTGCTGGGTGTGCTCGGCCTGTGATGTGTGCTGTGGTCACACCTGTGCTGGGAAGCCTCAGCGTCCACTCTGAGTTGCGTGCACGGCCCGGCCTTGGCTCATGTGATCTCTTCCTTCCGATTAGGGAAGAGGCCCGTGTCCTGCCAGCAACTGTCCAGCAGCGCGCTGCAGAAGAGGAACTATGAGAACTTTGGGAATGCACATTACCGACCAAATGACAAGAAAACTTGAATTTCCATTTGGGGAGAAGGTGAGCGTGTGCTTCACTTATAGTGCACGGTCCAGCGTCACAAAATGAAACTGATTTCAATCACAGATTTCTTTTAGGGTGTTAACTTTATAAAAGCCTGAGAATTCCAGCCACTCAAATGGACACAGCCTGGCTTGGTGCTGGTTGTCAAAGGGAGTGTTCCCCGTGGAGGCCTGGCGCACCTGTCACAGCAGGAGACCGGCCCCTGCACCTGTTGTCGGCGCCATGATGCTGTGCAGTGTCACCAAAGGCTTTCACCGGGGGTCAGGGACCTGGGCTGTTGGGTGCAGCGCTGTTCAAAGCTTTTGCAGATCCCTTATCATTTGGGGAGGTTGTTTGGGACCAGGGCAGGCAGAAGGCTCATTTTGCTTGTGGCTTTGTCAGGAGGCACTATCAGAGTGGTCCCTGTGAAGTCGCCTGCATGAGGGCTCACTGGGCTGCATTTTGTCCTCAAAGGATGAGGCTGGCTGGCAGGCAAGCAAGCTTCTTGAGTTCTTTCCAAGAACTGTTTTTCCTGTAAAAACATCACCAGCAGCTCACCAGCAGCTCACCAGCAGCCGGCTGAGCACCTGCTGTCTGCCAGGGCTCAGGCATGTGGATGGATGGATGGATTCGTGTGGTCGTGGCCAGGGTTTCTCCCATGGGACACCTGTGGGACCCTAAAGGATGTTTCTGCTGGGCAGGACTCTGCCACTGCCCCTGGGGTCACAGAAGCAGTGGGAGCGAGGGGGACATGTGCAGCCACACTCCGTAGAGAGACAACTAGTGAGCCACTTAGAGTGGACAGTGACAGCCACTGGCCCTGCCCCCTCTGTCAGCTCTGGCCAGCTCCCTCTTCCCCTGGCCACCTCTTTCCAGTCCTGAGGACCTGCTCAAGGTTGTTCCTGCCAGTTCTGGGAATGGGGTGGGGAGGGGTCCCCCTCTTGTGCCTGCCATGTATGCGTGGTCTGAGGCCAAGCGCCTTTAAAGTCCCTGTGTGTCCTAGCACTGGCTGGCCCGAGACCAGGTGGGAGACACCTTTGTGCAGTGCCCGGCGCATCTGTTGCCTGGGGTTTTCTTGAGCAGAAACTAGGGCCTTCATGAACAGAAGTCTGAGTATCTCTGACCAGTTCCATTTCTTTTTCTTTTGCTGTGTATCAGTGTCAGGCTTTCTGGGCAGGAGCAACTGCCTTTGCCACTAACTTGTACATCTCGTGGGGAGTGTGGCATCTGGACTGAATTTAGCCGCCAGTCAGCTCTCGTTTGTGCACTTGGAGCTCCAGGGTGTGATCCCTTAGTTCATTGTATTTATTAGACTGTTTTTTTCTGGAATTTTCTCAGCCAGTGCATTCGTTGCATCTTACTTTTAAACCTTGCTTCCTTTAGGTCTCGATGGACGTAACTGCGTACTCCGTGAAGTTGAATTTTAGTTCATCCTTTGGGAAAGCGAATGGTGAAAGCTACTGACATAAGCTGTGACCGTACTGTACATACAACAGACAAGGAACCATGCAAGGAACACTACAGTTTTGTAAAGTTGTTCTGTTAACTTTTGTACCAAATAGCAATAAAAACGAGTTGGAACAGTTGGCTAAACACAGATGGGGACTACAGGGCTCTATTTGTCCCTGAAGAATATTTTATTTTTTTTTTAAGAGTTGACCAAATAAGTGGAGTTTTTGCATACTTGAGCGCTGCTGAAAAGAAATCCTTTGGGTTGGGAGGTGGGGTGGGGAGAGTGTATGATGCTTGCACCTCAGGTAGACTGTAAATATCTCCTTTGTAACCGCTCGTCCCGGGCCGCGTCTCCCTCTTCTCACGTCGTCGCTTTGAGCAGTTTCTGCTGTTTGCGCTCTTTCGTTTCAATGTATGTTTTTTAAAAATTCCCAGTGATTTGTGTTATGTTGAATCTTGTACAATCTTTGTTGTCTTTAACAAAAGGGTCAACAGAAGCCTCGGCTCCATGAGGTCTGCGGTGGTCGGGCTGCTCTCTGCCTGCTCCGGGGCCTCCTGGGCGCGGGTCTGGGGGCCCTGAAGGATGGCTCCCTGTCCGTAGAGCCACCCTGTGCCAGGAGCCACCGAAACTGCAGCTCCTGAAAATGAATCGTTTCTGTTAGAAAATTCAGTTTGGGGGGAAGGGGATGAGTTTGGCTACATTCGCATATGACAGTTTACCATCCACAAGTACATAATGCGAATTGCAAATATTGAGAAGGAAGCAATTTTAAAGGGAACGGCAGATTATTTTGGGAAATTTTAGGTTTGTGTGTGGCAATCTTGCTGTGTCTGGCGGGTGAGGCATTCACCTTGGACAGGCGCGTTGGTGCTGTGGCTGAGTCTCCAGGACCTGGGAGAAGCCTGGCCGTGAGACCCCGTCTCCACACGCCCCTGCCCGGGGTTTAGAGACTGCTGCCTCCGGCTGGCCGTGCCGCGTTTTAGACTTGTTCCCTCCACGTGCTGTCCGTGTGCTCACGGGGAGTGAGCCAGCCACAAGATATTTTATTAAGAAACTGTTTTGAAAAGGAAATTTGCACTGTTGGTTTCCCCTGCCCTGTGCTTCTCCGTAGAGCAAAGGGAAAAGGCCTCAAGAATCCTAGTTTTTTTTTCCTTATGCAATGTGGGGAGTCCCTCACGGAAGTTTTCACTCCCGTGTTAAAGGGAGACCTGGTTTGGTGAGTCTGCTGGCATTGCAACGAAGTGCTTTGCGTCAGGAAAATGTACACTATATACCTGTTTTCCTGTCCACAAGCTGAGCCATATGTACATAATCTAGATTTTGTTTTCATAGTTTTGCACTTTTATAGCCTATTTTTGAAAATTAACACATTTTTGCAAGATGATTGACTCAATCTACGTAATCTGATGAGTTTCAGAGAGCTTGCCGTGACCGTAAATGTAAAGCTTAAAAGAGGGGATATAAATGGAGGGCTGAAACGTAAACCTGTATTTTAAAAAAAAAAAATCACCAAATCTATTTAAAAACAAAGTACATTTGTGTTAATGCTGAAATTTCTGGGCTTTCACATATTTCTTTTCTAGCCACATTCTGAATATATAAAAATATCAATTTTTTTTCACAGCCCTTTGTAACTTCAAAAAAAAAAGTTTTTTTGTCCATCAGTATTAACTATTGGGATACTACTGGTTCTCTATGTTTTTATTTCTTTGAGACAGCAGTTCATGTAATAGAGGTACAATGCGTTGGATTTTTGTTTATGTATTTATTTCATTCCAGTTTGATTTATTTTAATTGTTGATACTTAAGTTGTCAAACAGTAGACATTACTTGTTTTATTTATGATATATTTCAGCTTAAAGTTATGTTATTATATGTGGATGTAAATAGAGATTTGGTGTTTTGCAATCTTGAGTTTGGGTCGTCTTTGTGTTTCTGGTTTCATGGTTTATAAAGACAGCTTTGGAAACTGTGGTGCCGTGGGTTAACCTGAGCCTCAGGTGCGCCACTTCCGACCCAGCTGCCTCCCTGTGGCAGCATGGGGGAGTGAGCCACAGTGGAAGTCTGTCCCTTTCTTCTCTGTAACTGTCTTACAAGTAAAAAAAAAAAAAAAAGGAAGACAACTTTAAGGCCCAGCACAATGGTTCAGTGGCTAAATCCTTGCCTTGCAAGCGCAGGGATCCTGTATGGACCAATTTGTGTTCCAGCTGCCTTCCTGTGGCCTGGGAGGGCAGTGGAGGACAACCCAAAGCCTTGGGAGACCTGGAAGAGGCTCCTGGCTCCTGGCTCCTGGCTCTGGCCGTTGGTGGTCACTTGGGGAGTGCATCAGTGAACGAAAGATCTTTCTCCTTTGTGTTTCTAATAAAAACAAATATATGTATTTTCAAGACAGATTCTTCAGCTTTTAGCACATGACTGGGATGAGTCCCCGTGCACCGGGGTCACCGCTCGCCCCTCCCCAGCGTGTCTCAGTGTTTAAACATGTCTTCATGTTTGTTGGAAGCCAAGGAAGTAATCCCACCCTCTAGCTCACTCATGTCTGCAATAACCAGGGCTGGCCAGGCAAGGCCAGGAGGCAGGACTGCCTCGGGCTCCCCAGTGAGGGTCGGGGGTCCAGCCACCTGCGCTGTCACCGGGGATGTCCCAGAGGACGACCATTAGCAGGGAGCTGGGACTGGAATCGGGTTGTTTGCATGTGGCGCTGGGTACCCTGCTGCCAGTGCCGCCTCAGCCTAGGCATTTCAAAGCAAATCCGTGATGTGACTTGCTGTCCCTAAGTCCATGATGGCCCGCAGCCAGCCTCCACCAGCCCGCCAGTTAAGCCTCGAAGTTTCGTGCAGATTTGGGGGCGAGGGGCTGTGTAGTTCCTCCTGGGACTCCAGAAGAAGCAGATGGTGGCCACCTTGCCCACCTGTCACCTGGGATGCGTGGTCGCAGGTCTGTGTAGGCCCTCCTGGCCGCCAAGGTGCTTCCTGGGCTGTGGGTGAACCTGAAGAGTGGCTTGAACATTGTGCATCCTCCCATGTTCTACAAGGAAGACCCTTTCATTGGTTGCCCTGAAACAGCTTCAGCTGGAAATGTGACAGGTGTCCCTTCCCTGCAGCCCCTTTGCTGCTTGTGAGGGTGCTCTGGGGCCCCAGCATCCCCACAGGTGACCTGTGAAGAAACTTGGCAACATTCGTTTTCAAACAATGAACCCTTGTATGTTACGAGGTTTTTTATTTGAGAGTCAGAGCCCCCTGCTCCTGTGTGCAGGTTCATTCCCCAAATGCCTATAGCTTCCCACTGGGATTCAACCCGGTATTCCATGGAGACCCTCAGCGCTGTGCTTGAGCTGGGTATCCAATCAGGGTGCTAGGATTCGGGCACCGCGGCCAGCAGCAGTCTCCGAGTGCCCACCAAGTGGGCCGTGTGCTGGCCGCTGGGAGCTGCTTCAAGTCCAGCGTGGGCTGGAGGACGTCTGGGTTCTGAGGTGGTGAGGCCAGTACCACAGCCTCGTCCAGGTCGGGAGGCTGCTCCAACAACCTTGGGTTCCTTTTATGGGAAATGATGAATGTTTTTAAAATTACTTTATTGGAAAGACAGATTCACAAAGAAGCGACAGATCCTCCATGTGTTGGTTCTTTTCCCGAATGACTACGATAAGGCTAGAGCTAGGCCAGTGGAGTCTGGCCTCCTGTGGGGTCTGCCGTCAGGTGTCGGGGCCCAAGGACTTGGGCACGGTAGCAGGGAGCAGATCCGCTTCCCCAGTGGACTTGAACCAGCACTGCAGGATGAGGCCCAGCCTGACGCTGGCTGAGGTTGGGTGCTCATTCTTACCAGCTGGGACTTGACATCCCTGGCCTATCTGAACAATTGCAGTTTAAGGATTTTGTGCACCCAAACTGCTTTAGTACTTTTCCCTATGAACTTTGTGGAGCCCCCTTGTATATGACAGGGGGCATCACGTGAGGCCCTCAGCTTTGCTGCACTTGTGTATAGCAGTGGTCTTCTGGCCGTGGTCCCTGGCTAGTAAAATCCTTCAGGGAGAAATGCAGATTGCCAGGCTTGCCCCAGACCTGCCGAACTGGGGACTCCGGGGAGCGTGGGGCAGCCTTTCCATGCCGAGACGCTGCCAAGTGCCTTGAACCACTGGCCTCTGCCTGTCCCAGGCTCCCGTGGAGGAACGCAGGGAAGGCTTCACCAAGCACTGTGCAGCATCACCACCAGGTGGCGCGAGTGTCAAGAAATGGCCCCGCTTTCTAGTCCTGTTCCGGATTTGGGTCAGATTTTTTTTTCTTTTTTTTTTTTTTTAAGGTGCACAAGAGTTTTTTGGTTTTTTTTTTTCATCTCTTATTGAAAAGTCAGATATACAGGAAGAAGGGGAGGAAGATCTTCTGTCTTTCTGTACATTCCCCAAATGGCTGCAACATCTGGATCTGAGCTGATCTGAAGCCAGGAGCCAGGAGCCTCCTCTGGGTCTCCCACATGGGTGCAGGATCCAAGGCTTTGGGCCGTCCTCGACTGCTTTCCCAGGCCACGAGCAGGGAGCTGAATGGGAAGTGGGGCCACCAGAATTAGAACTGGCACCCATATGGGATCCTGGCGCATGCAAGGTGAGGACTTTAGCCACTAGGCTATTGCACCGGGCCTGGGACAAAATTTTCAAAGATGAAACATTTGTGTTGCTTCAAATGCTACCAGAAATCTTACATTAATATGGCATAGAATATATAGCATTTTTCTTTATTTGAAACGTCAGATGTTTTAGAAGATGCATATGTTTGAAAGGCAGAGTTCCAGAGAGACCAAGATCAAACCACTGGCCACTCCAAGTGGCTGCAGAAGCCAGAAATGGGCCAGGCTGAAGCCAGGAGCCAGGAACCTCCTCTGGGTCTCCCACACGGGTGCAGGTACCCAAGCAGTTGGACCACCATCGGCTGCTTTCCCAGGCGCAGAAGGGAGTTGGATCTGAAAGGGAGCAGCTGGGACTTGAACTGGTGCCATTGGCTCTGCAGGTGGGAGTCTTGCTCACTATACCACCGTGCTTGCCCCTAACTTTTTCATGAATTGAAGCTGTGTGAACTAGCCTTTACGAGCCTTGCCTGCTGCCCCGTGCTTGAGGGCAGCAGCCCCTCTGCCCTTGTGGCACACGAACGCCCAGTCTGATAGAGAAGGAGTTTTACTCTGCCCTTAGGTGCTAGGTTCAAGGGCTTGGGGAGGCCCAGGGTGCCCAGCGGGCTGGCTGCAGCTGGCAGGTGCGAGTTGGACTATCCTGGGAAGAAGGAGGAAGTGATTGATGATTGCCCGACAGGCGGCCGGGGGCCGGGGGCAGGAAGTCTCAGGCTCTAGAAGGTTTGGGGACCTGTGGTTTCCTGTGTGTGTCTCCCCTGCGCTCCCCCTCCACCTGCCTGCCGTCTCCCACCATTCTCCCTCCAGCCCCAACTCCACGGTCACTCCACCGAGACCTGAACGTGGGCGGTGGCACCTGGACACAAAGATGATGGACACGAGCAGGTAAGGAACCCACCGCCGCCCCAGGTGGGATGATCATGAGTCCGAGAGTGGGTTTTCTTTCTTCAAAAAAATCTTTTAGGATTTGCATCTTTTACTTGAAAGGCTGAGTGACAGAGAACTTTTCCCTCCCCTGGCTGCTTGCTCAAATGCCTGGGCCGACCGGAAGCCGGCGACGAGAGCTCCGTCCTGGCGTCTCAGGCGGTGGCTGGGCTGGCCTCTGCTGCCTCCCAGGTGTGCCAGCAGGAAGCTGGTTCCGAAGCTCAAGGTCGCAGAGACTTGAAGGGCCACCCTGCTAGGGGACGCAGGCACCCCAAGGGGCTAGCCACCTGACCCTCCCAGCGCATGCCCCAAACATCTGAGGAACAAGTTTGCTGAGAACTAGTCCTGGATGTGCCACACGGTGCGAGCTCTTTGGTTTTTGAAAGCAGAGAAGTAAGGGTGGTCCATGAATAAAGTGCTGCTAGGCTGGCACTCAGCACAAAAGCCTGCTGAGAACGGAATGGACCGGGCAGTCTTGGGGCATGCTTTCAGGATGCGCTCGGCAGCTTGGGCAGAGGAATGACCCACTAGGACACCGAGCAGCAGGCACGAGGCTTGATTCGCTCCCACCAAGCACACCAGCAGGTGCAGTTCACCAGGTTCGTGGCTGCAGCGAGCTCTTCCCCAAGTGCCCACAGCAGCAGGGGCTGGCTCAGGTCAGAGCCAGGGGCCAGGAGCTCCATCCTGGCCCCCATGGGAGTGGCAGGGCCCTAACACCCTCCACAGCCTACCTGGGAGCTGAGCAGGGGCTGGGACAGGGGACGCTGATGTTGAATGTCTTGGGGGCCTGGTGCGACAGCCTAGCAGCAAAAGACCTTGCCTTGCATGCACTGTTATCCAATATGGGCACCGGTTCTAATCCCAGCGGCCCCACTTCCCGTCCAGCTCCCTGCTTGGGGCCTGGGAAAGCAGTCGAGGATGGGCTGTGCACCCATGTGGGAGACTGGAAGAAGCTCCTGGCTGTTTGGCCATTTGAGGGGTGAACCAGCGGACGGAAGATATTTCTGTAAATAAAGATATTTCTTTTAAATAAAAACAAATAATTATATTTTAAAAAAGCCAAGTTTCTGGCTGAGCTGTCTCCGGGCAGATGTAGGGAGTCTGCAACCCCTAATGAGTCCTTTTTATTGCATTTTGCTGACCCTCAATATAAAACAGTCATAAATCAGTCAGCTTCAAGACCTTTCACTTAGGATCCAAAAGACACTTGAAACAGACGTTCAGAAGGAGCCAGCACCGCGGCGTCTTATTTCACGCACATTTGAATGATGGCGAGGTAAAGCCTGTGAGTCAGACACAGTTCCCTGGGCAGTTTGAGTCCCACGAAGTTAGGAATGCTTCCAGAATTCCGGGACTTGGGAGAGGACAGGCGCTGCAGTTTGCATCCTGGCCACGCGGTGGCGCGCGGCCCCCGGCTTTGCGGAGAGGAGCTTGGTCCAGCGCTTCCTGGTCGGAGCTCTGGGCTCTC